AAATTTAACTGCATAGCTACTCCTAGTAACTGGAAGAAAGTCACACCACTAAAAAAAAAAAAAAGCTATAAAAGCGAATGATGTATATTTATTCAAGAACTAAAATGTAACAAAATCCGTGCACACAGACGCGTGTCATATTGGCAACATAAAGCTATCAAAGTAGGAAATTCCGCCGTTTATGAATTATCCGGAAGTCAGGGAGTTTAAGATTTGAGAACATTGGCAATAACTTTAGAAAAATACTTTAATATTACCCATGATTTATCAGGTATGTTAGGGATTTAGAAAAAATGTAAAACCCCTGCGCTCATGCTGAGATTCAAATTAGATAGCTGGACGTGCTAACCATTTACATTACGAAACCTGAAGGAGAAGATGGAGAAAGGTCGTAAATCCTTACAAATAATCCATTAACTTAAACATACATTTCATAAAACTCAGCACCAGAATTTGCATTTTATTATTATTATTATTATCATTACATGCATTTTATTATTATTATTATTATCATATAACTTTTATTGCGAAGAAATTAAAAATGCTACATATTATCTGTATTGGTAAATGTTTGAAAAATTATCTACATTACAGAATTTAATTATATAATTTTCAACTAGCACTAGTCTCGCCTCTATTGAACCTCACTGGCTGTGACTACAAGTACATGAAATATACGAAAATGTGTAGGAGGTATTAGAAAAAAATAATTCAGACAAGGAGGTGGCAGTCTAAAATATATGAGAAATATCGGTTTAGAAATATGTTCAAATTGGTTACGAAAATATAAAACAAGGAATAAAAGCAAAATTACCGATAAATAGCAGACAATATATATATATATATATATATATATGAATATAAAAAGTGTTAATATTAATAACTGAAAATTAAATAAATTGTTTCCCACGTTTTGCTGTTGAACGAGCACGAACTGCTCTTCTTGTTCGGCATTCACTCTCATATAACAATTACTGAGATTTCAACTCACGTTTCAAAGATTCATTTTTCTAACTTTAGGCTTCCTGTAAATTTGGAGTCATTCTGAGAATGTTTAGTCTCATAATGATGATTTATATCGTGTTCTTCTGTTTTGCATTGCATTGTATTTTTTGCTGACATTATTTCACTGCAAAATATACACACTGCTTTATTACTTCAATCTATAACGCAATATCGATATTCCTATTGCGCTTTGAATGCTCTGCACTTACAGTCTTTGGTTTCTTTTCCATATTTATACAAATCCACACGAAAGAGCACATAACTTTAAATCAAAATAATGCAATTATTGCCCTGAACTCAAATTTAGAAGTGTCGAAGTTTCTATTGTCATTATATTCATACCTCGCGACATCGGTGTGTAGAGCATATTCGAAAACATTCGAATCTTCCAGACAAACATCTATGCAGCAGAACTTTTCCAGGACATGATCTAGCTTTAAAATTGGCGCTAAAGCACAACTGATCCTTTTTGCGTAATTTAGCCGCTTTCTGGAAGATGCAGACTAAAGAGCTATTGTAGCGCAAGATGGCACCTCCGCCGCAATGACTTGTTTTTGAAGTATAATCGAAATTGCGAACGGAGCGGAGTCCACCCCCGAGCCCCACGTCATGGAAACCTCACTAGCCAGCTAGTTCCGATATGAAAATTTGCACGTAATTTAAAATTACAGTATGCTGATATGATGAGATATTAAGCCTTGACCTTTGAGACTTAATTGAGAAGTCTTTATGATCCTTAGGCTAAACTGCCTTAGGCAGTAAAAATGCAGGCGCCAAATGACTCCGCCGACCTTGAGAATCTGAAAACGGCACTTTCAGAACAGTGGCATTCAATCCAACAGTTTGGAAAATTATGATATGAAGTTTCCATTTCTGTCAGAGGTGTCCATCTACATCACCAAAGAAAGATTTGTTATAAAATTAAGAAGCTAATTTTCCCATCATTTTAAAATTTTCACGAATTTGATTTTAAGTTCACTATTAGATTAATCAGCTGACAAAGACGGTAATTTATGTTAAATAATGCTTTTTCACAAATTTTTTAATTCTTTTTTATAAGTAACGATTAAGTTTTATTTACTTGAATATAATTTTGGAGGGCAAAGTTCAATTTTAATTTAGTTGCACTTTACCCTCCAAAATTATACGATCCAGTAGATGTTGCCATATTGGCACTTAATAATCATGGAATTATTTTGCTGCTCAAGCATTCCTTTTGGGTCAGTTCACAATACCATAAATTAGTTATAAAACTAAAATAAACTACTTTTGAAAATTTCAGGTTAATGAGAATCAAAATAAATAAATAAAAAGGAATAATTTATTAATAAAATTCTACTAGATTTAGAATGTGCATATCATCTAAAAACCAATGATCAATAAAAATTCTACCGTAGCTTATAATTCTGATGAAGGACATATCATGTGCTATGTCTATTGAAATGAACTAATATTCTATTATTTAGTTTAAAAGCATCTGTTATAATAATTAATTGAAATAATAAGTTAAGGAAATTCAAACTTAAAATTGCACAATTGATTCAAGATCTGCGTGACCTCTAAAAATACTAGTTGTCTGAGATTTCAAGTAATCCAGATTGAAGATGATGTATTGCTGCAGTAATTGATATCTTCGCATTATCAAAAGCATCTAACCCCTGCCCCCACCTATGGGGTCTTATGGAATGATGTTTAGCGCATATTTATCATTTCAAATTTACTGTATTTCAAATTTATTGTATGTCTTATTGATAAGAAAGTTCAGATTTTCAGGCATGCTTATTTGAAACTCTTGATGAATAAAATGCGTTGTAGGATGCATCCTTTAATCGAACTTGAAATTGACTGAGGACACTTTCTTTTGTGCGTTAGTGTTTTGTTAATCTTAAAGAAGAAAGCTTCTTTCAAGAAAAAATATTATATATAAGTACAATTATTACCTGGATTACTTGATCTGCTAATAGCGAATAATTAATGGTCAAATGTATTCCATTTACCCTGGAACTACTGACAAATTTAGAATTAACATCACAACAGCAATTCTAGACGTACCTAAAAATCACATTTATGCAAATATGCTGAAAAGAATGATGTGCGCCTGCGAGGTGTTAAATATACTTCTTATATCTTCTTACATGTGCCATGTTGTAAGTTACACATACCTCCATGTTGCATAGACACTAACAAAAAGAGCCTTGTACGGAAATTCATTGAGGACATACTTTTGTTTAAGACTCGAAGTGTAAATTAAAAGCAAATACTTTCATGATATTTACTTGGCAGTTCAAAGCGAATGACAGCCCTAAAAGTTTAAATGTTTATCTAAGTTGCTTGCAATGATTTTAAGTATGTATATAATTATTTTTATATTATTTTTATGTTATCTTTGATTTGTTTTTGCAAAGTTTGCATTATTTATCTTTTTTATAATCTTCTAATGTTTATTTCAACTTACTTTGATTTCGATTTCATAATGACAATTTCCAATGTTTAATTTCTACAAATAATATGTACTCAAATACATAAAGATGATAGTGTCGGGACGATTACTCGAGTTTTACAAGATTTCTCTACAGTAATTGATTTTTACTCCAAATTGAATTGACTAAAATGCTTCATGAGAATCAGTTCTTTGAGTAACACTATTCGCGGAATATTTGGCCTGACTAGAATTGCCGGTTTGGTTTCAGAAAATCATTTTGAGTAACAACTATTCGCGGAAATATTTGGCCTGACTAATTGCCGGTTTGGCTTTAATTTATAACTCGAGTAAAGACGAAACACTTTCATATTTACGTATTTCTATCAATATTGATCATTGAACGGGAGGGTTTGTTCCCCTTGAAAAGTCAACTAATTTCCGATCAATGACAAATTACATGTTTTAATTTTCCTTTTTGCAATTGTAATATTATTCTTCGTGATGATTTAACTCCGTCCCCCGTTAAAACATTATAACATTTGCTTTCAAATTACTTCAAAACATCTTTCAAATATAACTTACCAGTATGGATGCACACTTTTAAAATAATTCTACTTTAATTAAACTTAGGAGATAATATATCAATTAATCAATACTGTTTAGGAAATAAATTATTATTAACTAACTTTGCAGCAATTGCGCAAGTAATAATAACTTGTATTCGCACTAAATGGATAAGTTCAACACATTAATATATATATATATATATTTTCATAAGATATTGAATTTAATTAAATAAATTTAATTTAAATACAAATTTAGTTAAATATTCTTTGCGCCATGCTGCAAGGATGAAATTTAAATTTAAATTTAACAAACACTATAAAGTAAAAAAAATTTAAAGCCAAATAAGAAAAAAGCCCAAATAAAAAAAAAAATTTTTTTTAAATGTGTAAAATATAAAAGATTTATTCTCGAACTAATTTACAATATCATTCAAATTCAGAAGCATAAGCAAATCAAGTGCAAAACCAATCCTTGTATTTTGGCTTTAAATTTGCTTTTTTTACTTTTATACGTGTTTGTTAAAATTTAAATTTGTTTAAATTTATATATATATATGCGTATAATTACGTATATTTTGTGCCACTGAATCTATCATCATAGTAAATAAGAAACTGTCCTGTCTTAAAATTATAGAGAAAATTAAGAATTCACTACATACCACTTTTATACATTTAATTAGCTACAGTATGAAAAGTGATCAATCAGTAGTTAAACACAAGAAACTTTGAATAAACCCTGATATAAGCCATTTAGAAAGAGCTTATTTTGAATGTATAATCTTGAATGAAAATTTTAAATAATAACCTCTTGTTATAATCACGCTTGATGACAAAGGATTTTATGCTATTATTAATCATTTTCGAAAACTATATGATATTTATTAAAAAGAATTTGTAAAAAGTGGAAAAAATACAACACTTTATCTGTACTCTGTTTTATATAAAAACGCATTTTCTTTATATTACTATGTTTGTTTAAAATTTCAAATACTGATTTATTTTTGCAGAACTCCACATATGGAATGAAAGAATCTTCCGATCCATGGAGAAGCATTTCACAGTCAGCCTCTTATTATTACGACCCAACGTTAGCTGCCTACGGGTAAGTATTTCACTTATTCCCGGCGAATTTAATATGATAAATTAAAGCTGATCTAAAATTAGTTTCACCACTTTTAAATTATAGTACTGAATAAACCACTGCTGCGTGAAAGAGCAATATGGGAATTTTTATGATTAACAGAAACAAAATTAGACGGAAACACGGTGTAAGATTTGTAAAGATTATTGTCTTACTGTAACTGTAGACATAAAAATTCAGTTGCACCTTTGCTGGAATTCTAACCACGGATGTTCCAGTTTCTATCTAGGCATGCTAACTATTCATGTCATGAGAACACGGAATAATGTACTAATTCCTTATATGCTTCCCCATTTAAAGGGTGGAGGACAGACACAAAAGTAAATCGATCAAATTCAATTGGACTATAAGTTATAATCCCCAAATTTTAGTTCGGGAAAGACCGTTAGATTTTATTCGGACAGGAGATGTGAAAAGTCAGGTGTGTTTGAGCCAGAGAATTTTCAGTTGTTAGACAGGCATGCTAACCACTTACAACATGACAGCATTGATGGATGAATGCAGCAATCCTTTATAAGCTGTATGGTATTTTAATTTTGCACATTGTGACTTAAGCTGTCTTCAGAGCTTGATTTCTATAATACGTACCTCTTCATCACGTTCATGTTACTTGCGCAATCGATATGATGCAGGGGAGGATGAGACTTTATTTACATTCCAGAATTTTGTTTTTCGTAACTTTCGGTAAACCTAATAATAGTTTTTGTTCTAATGGCGGGCTGTAGCAGTTCATAGGCATTGGCCAATACTAAGGCCAGAAGCGGTGGTCTCTTTATTATGCAGGCACCTAATAGGTGGGCCTATGAAGGAACGGACAAATTACATTCATGCCTTAACAGGAATTCGAACCCAGGCCCTTCGGTATGGTAGTCAGAGTCAATGGCAACTTTCGCGTCTGGGCCGGCTGTAGCGCGTCTGGGCCGCCAAATCCTGGGGTGTGGAGAATCACAGACTTTTTTGTTGTGGTACTTCTTCTGTTGTGCTAATCCTTGTGATCTGAACTTAGCCTAAATCAGGTTCACGAATTCATCTTGGCCAACAGGGAGAAAGTTGCAGCTCTCGTTGATCAAGGACTTATTAAGAATGGCATTAGGAATTTTCCCAGATCTATCATAGCTTTGATAAAGAACATCCTGGTAGACAGTTACAAATATCTCCTTCCTCCAAACTCTAGAAAAGATTTTCAAATCGATATTATTTTAAGTGTTCCCATGACGCAAAGACCTTATACATTATAAACATGCCTCAAAGAACAATTATACTACAGCCTCTAACAGTTAACATGGCAGGGCAAATCATGAGGTGGCAAGGTAAGCAGGTATAACAAATATGCCAGACACCTGGAAATATTATATCTATAACTGCGTAATATTTCATCATTAATTTATTAAACGGCTATCAACTCATCGTCATGAACAACAAACATAACTTCAAAGTGAAGAGATTTTCCCTTAAAAAGGAGACAATTATCAATTCAACGGAGAATGATATTCCGCTTTTTGAATGATATTCTGCTATTCAGTTCAGCTGTTTTCTCCTTTTATATATTTATAAGCTGCCGCCCAGTGGGTATAGTGGTCAAGGAAGCTGACTGCGATGTCGAAGGGCCTGGGTTCGATTTCCGGAGAAGGCAGGGTTGTAACTGCTCGTCCCCTTCATAGGAAAGGCGATGGTGGCCCACCTGTTAGGTGCCTCCATAATAAAGAGACCACCACATCCAGCCTTGTATAGATTAATGGACTGGGTTACATTTGTAATTGTTCACAATCTGTTATTGGAAAAAAAATTATAAGCTAAGTCAAAAACCTGTTCTGTAAAAATGGTTATAGCGAAGAGTGTAATTGCCATATATTCGGCAAAGCCGACCACTAGTCATTTTGGACAATTAACTCTTGGTTCAATCTCGGTAGACGAGATGATTGCACTGGAATTTGCTGCGATTTTGTCATGAAAACGAACTGTTTCCTTTAAAATGTCCTCCATGAAGATATCCCTTCCATTAGGCAGATAGTCATATTCTTCTTTGAGATAACCTAATAAATCCGAATACAGAAGATTTTGGTCATCTGCAGAAATGGCCGATTTAGCAAAAATGATTTGCTGCTGGCTTCTATACCGCGACTTTGTATTATGTTCCTTTCCTTTCTCATAAATAGTTGCAGCTTCCAGAAGAGGTTCCTTCAGAGCTTTTACTGCATTTGTAATCTGTTAATTTTGACCTACGATACATAAAATAAAATTTCAAGTATTTAAATTTCTTGTCATAGATCAGAGATACTCTATGTGCCATCTTTTTTCATATGATATATATCTATTTTGTAGTCTCAATGAGCAAATGCGTTTCTCACCTGGTCTCAAAATTCGTTGGATGTCACACCTTGCGTCTTTCCCCCCCCCTTTTTTTTAAATTTGCGTGCATGTGTGTGTGGGGGGAGGGGGGAGGGTAGTTTAAAGATATTGTAGAGACATTACGTATTTTGGAAGTAGGAGTGATGAAAAATTAGCAACCCTCTCGCCGGGAATCGAATCACGGATCTCTGGATACGCGCCTAGCGTGCAGACCACCACACTACGAAGGCTATATAATGCGCCTTTTTAAATGGCGACTGAGGTTTCAGGGGATACAATTGCCAAATCCTGGGGTATGGAGAATCATCATTCACACCCTTTTAGTTCGGGCGCCACAGTATTTTGGTGACATTAGGTATTTTGGAAGCAGGAGTGATGAAAAATGAGCAACGCCCTCGGCGGGAATCGAACTATGGACCTCTGGATATGCGCCCAGCGTGTAGACCACTACACTACGAAGGCATGCTAAGAAGGCGGGAGAAATAATATCGCCATCCAATTTCGATGAACTGAAATCCATATTACCTATGTCGTTGCGTCACAGATGTATAAGAGATCAAATATGTAGCAATTAAGTAATTTGCTATAATCATTCACAACAGGATTATTCTTAATTTATACTGTCTAATAACTTTAAATATAATCCGTAGATTTTTACGCAAATATCTCCTCAAATACAAGGCGATTTCCCCCCCCCCCTAATGTTATATTTTAAATTAACCTGTGTCTTCCATGCATTTATTTGTTAAATGTGTCTGTTTTATTGATTATTTTCAGGTACGGCGGTTTAGATTTCAATGGAGCTCGTCGGAAGAACGTAACGCGTGATTCTACTAGCACCTTGAAGGCCTGGCTCAACGAGCATCGTAAGAACCCCTATCCCACCAAAGGAGAGAAGATTATGCTGGCTATTATAACTAAAATGACACTCACACAGGTATACTTCACATCTATTATTGAATTTTATTTTTTGACATTGCTTTATTTTTAAACTTTACGAGCGAGGAATGTAAAATGTAATAATTTCTTTACGTGATAGAAATGATAATCACGTACCTTCCTAGTTAAGAAGCTACAATATTTTTCACTGTCGAAATCGTAACCAACACTCGGAAAATTTATTTTAGCTAACATGTCATATGTGTGTTAACTCTTTTCTATACCTTCTCAGAAAGTTTATTTCAGTGAATATGTTATTTATTTATGTTAACTCTTTTCTATACGGTTTATTTTATTTTATTTTGGTCAACCGTCAGTAGATTACAAATTAGGTAAGTTTCATTTGCGAGAAAACGTGTGGTTTAGGAGAGTGCTGTGGCAACCAGCCATTTAGCATAAAATGTCCTATTAATCGACCCAATTTCAATGGATTTTTGTTTTCTTCTAGCGCATAAAATTAGAATTCCCATTTAGTGTGCATTAAATACGTCAGCTCCTGCCAACCTCCTAAAATAGCTACTAAAAAAAAGGAAAAATATATAAGTATTTTAATGAGTCCACTTATAAGGTATTTATTCCGCCTTTTTAGCGAGCCTTCGTGGTGTAGTGGTCTGCACGCTCAGCGCGTAATTGAAAGATCTGCGGTTCGATTCCCGCGAAGGCGTTGCTAATTTTTCATCTTGCCTGCTTCCAAAAGCACGTAATGTCTCTACACACGTAGTGTAATTTCGTTCGATCCATCTAGAATAATTTCACAAAAATTTAGTGATTTTTAATAATAAACTATAAGAATAGTATTTTAATTTAATTTTTATTGAATAATTTCATGATAGGACGCAGAATGTTCATTCTGTAGAAATCATCCTCTCTCTATATATATATATCTTTTTTTTGTGTGTGAAAATTCTTTCTTTATGTAACGAAGCCTTGAGAATAATTTTCAAAGAACCACGAAAATATTCTACAAAAGTGCTTAACCTGTTCAGTGCCGCGTTTTAACTCAGAGGGGTTAACCGCGCTGAGTCGAGTTTTTCTCGGAGTAAAGCCAAACGTGCGTCACGTCTTAGAAAAAAAAATGCTTTAGTCCGAGTTAACTCACTAGCGGCACTGAACGGGTTAAAAGCGAAATTGTCACAACATAACATTTACTGTTTCAAAATCGAATATACAATCAATAAAATCAGTTAAATCAATCAATAAATAAAATCAGTCAATAAAATCACAATCAATAATTACAATAATTACAATCAATAATTAATAATTAAAATCAATAATTAATCATTACAATCAATAATTAATATAATTACAATAATTACAATCAATAAAGTCACTCAATAAAATCAGTTGTTAATCAATAAAATACAGATTAAATTTGTCAAATTTCTTACGCTTTCCCGAACGGCATCAGACTGGCAAGAAGAATATAAAAGTATTTTGTTTTAGGTAGTGGCAATACATTTAAAAAGTCGAGTTTGTTGATTAAATTAGGAAGATTTTAAAGTTTGACGAATGGCAAGACATTGGCGCTTTAAAAAATATTGTTTTATTCCGAATTGTGACGGCACATGATTTGGATTCGCTGAGTTTGTAATCAAACAGTTATTAAATTCTCACCAAATGTGAAATAAATAAAAATCAAGTTCGGAATGTAAAATTCAGACTTCGAGAGGCACATGTTCGAATGGAGGACTATGCGTGTTTAAATTCTGCTGGCTCTAGTTTCCGTCGTTCTTTTACAGTGGGAGGAACAAGCATACATGCATGCACACATATAGATTCTTCATTATTTGATAATAATGATAACGAAGAACAGTTTAATAAATCTTTTTGTTAAGTTTTACTTGTTATCTTTGTTACTGAAGTTTAGTTAAATGTTTACTTGGAGCGTGGACGAAAATTCACTGAAGCAAGGAAAACATAAACGGATATAATTAGGTTATTAAATAGGTTTTAACCTTACACGCCTGATATATTCTTGACTAATACATTTTACCTATTTACGCGACTAAAATTCAATTCACCACAATATAAAAAGTGAATAGTGTCATGGACCAGTTCCATGACACTATTCACTTTTCATATAATCTAATATTTATGGGGGAGGAGTGAAGAACAAACTCGATGGCATTTCTTAAGTATTCGCAGGCAGATAAGCGTTGTTGCCTAAGCTAATTGAAACGTATTAGAATGTAAAATAGTCACTTATTTATAAGGACATTAATATATACAAAATAAAAAGAATAGTTTTTTTTAACAAGTCCTATATTTTGCTAGTTATCGGAGAGCTCTTTATCCAAAGCATTGTTTTGATCACGTTTTCCCAAGCGTTTTACCCCCAAAAGGGGCTATTAGTCTCAAAATGGCATTTTGCGTCTATTGACTATAGACTGCATATCCCTTTTCAAATTTTTAATTTAATATTATCAAAATTAACAAATATTATCGTCTTGTATTATTTTTAAAGACATTGAATAATAATTACTTCTACGTACCAGCGAATAAAAAATTTGCGTGTAAGTATGTATGTTACTGTGACCGTAAAAAAATAACGATACCTAGAGCTTTGAAGTTTTGATTAACGTAATCCTCCACCCGAACATGGGCACTTGAAAATCCGAATTTTAAGTATTGAATTCATTTTATTATCTATTTTATGTTTTGTAAAAGTTTAATAAATTTTTAGTTAACAAAATCAACGATTTGAAAGTGAGCAGTGGCAACACTGTTCGAAATAAAGTATTCGAATATCCAGCGTCGCCGACCGTTGCCATACGGAAAACATGTAAGAGGCTAGGTTAGGTTATTTAATTACCACAAAGCCTCGAGGGTTATCTGCGTAAGGGAAGGGATGCCTTCGTGGAGGACTTTCTAAGGGAAACTGGCTCGTGTACACGTTACACATGGGGAAAACCACGAAAACGCCCATGCAGCCAGCCCGTTCGTGGGATTCGAACCTCGGACCGAACTACCAGTGTTCAGCGACTTTACCGCTCGGCGGCTGGTGAGCCGAAAACATGTAAGATATTTGTCCTTCAGTTTTATTTAACAAACTCGGCTGCATGTAACCAATGTGTTGCCGCAACTGGAAATAAAATACTTTTATCTTCCACGTACCAGCGAGTTGCCGTTCAGTAAAGCATAACATACTTTGAAATTTAATCTGGAAGTTATTGAGTAATAAAATTAGTTACTTAAAAGCTCTATAGTTTTTAAGAATATTTTTTCTGCTTTTCTATGTGACTGGTTTATATAAACATGTATTAAAATCATGTCTAATTGGAAAAACTGAATATTTTTATGAAATCGCACTAGCTGGATTCGTGAAGTCATTATATAATTTTCATTTTTATGGTAACACTTTTAGACGGTTGGCTAAGTGACCGGCTAGCTTTTAAAGAAATAGTACCTTGAATATAAAAGTACGTATGGCAACCTGTAACACTGCATCGGGAATTCTAAGGATATGTTGTTTTTGAATATTTTGAGTGAACTTGGTTGTATATAGGTTTAGCAGGATTGAAAGGCAACAGCAAACTGGCAAGTCAGCGACAGCGTGAATTTTTTTAGGCGACCTTTAAAATCTGAAATTTTTCAGATTTGAATTTTTTTTTATTTGGAACCTTCTTTTGATTGTTGATCGTTTGCAATAATTATGTATATTGGATGCATTTTTTCTAAATTTAATCTGCAGTCCCTGAAATTGTAATTGAAACGTAAAAAATTGTAATACTTGTTTTATTTGTATTGTATCAGATTTATCAATCAAAATTCTTACGGTACTACAGAAACAAAATGATAAATACTACAGATTTCACCAAATATTTACAGTAACGAACCTGCGGAACATGCGCAGATTATAGCAGTGATTTATATGGAAAGAACATAGGAGTAATAGACATACATGGAAGTGCTGAAAATATTGATTTGTAGATAATGTTTTAAGCTATTTCTCCCGCCTTCTTAGCATGCCTTCGTAGTGTAGCAGTCAGCACGCTCGGCGCGTTTTCGAAAAGTCCGCGGTTCGATTCCCGGCGAAGGCGTTGCTCATTTTTCATCTTATCTTCTTCGAAATAACCTAATAAATCTACAATGTTTTTAGAATATCAGATTGATAGCATGTAGGTTTCAGTCCTTTAAGGTAAATAAAATTACACACGACTTCCGTAAACTTGTATAAAGAATCATGTAACATAATTTATTAAGATTCTTATAAAGATGCAAGCTACTTGTCCGTGATAGATGTAATCAAGTTAATGTTTGAAATTTTGCTTAAAAAGTGGTTCTGCAACCAAATTTCTAAGCGTATTCTTTTACCCACCTTGTTCTTAATAACTCATTAATACTCCTCAAAATAGTAATGCCTCCCTAGATTTCCTCACAGACCACTTGTGGACAATAATTCCCACGGTAGGACTCTATGGCCTAAACAATTATAATAATAAGAGTGTCATATAAGAATAAAAGAGATTTAATTTTTTTAAGCCGAGGCCTGTTTATTCTTAAAGTCACTAATATAATCCAGAGAATCATGGTAATGAATTAATGTTTCATTATCATAGATTTTTGGATAAACTGAATAGACTTCATATCTACAATGAAATAAACTTACCTTGCTAACTTTAACATTTCCTATGATGACTTATTTTAGCACATGAGGAACATTTAGTAATATATTTTTCACTCTTTTGTGGTGAGAATACAACTCCCACAGGATGATGTTCGATAGATTACTGAAATGATGCACAACGAACAAAAGCGTAATTTGCCATACACTAAATTTTATTCATATTACGTAAAATTTATTATTTTTCTGATCTGAATTACATGCAGAGCGAAGAAATTATTGTCCTTTCAACACCAGTTCTTGTACTAAATTGCAAATGGATAGCGCTTCAATAATATTTTCAAGTTTGAGAAGGTTCTTTATTCTAAAAATTAAGCACTTAATTCAGCAATACCATTTTATTACGAAAGCAAATCGTTAAACCTATAAGGCTTAAACTAAACCCGCAAGAAACTTTCTGCTTCTTCATTGCGTGCCTTCGTAGTGTAATTAAAAAGTACATCTGGCTAGCGATAGGAAGATCCGAAGTTCGAACACCAGTGACCTCTTCAGTGATTTAGCTTTGAAATGTTTATTGTTTTGAAAAGTATCATAGACTCTACAAGTGACGGAACTACATTGTGATGAACAATAATTCGTCACCTCCAGGATTTGACGATTGGTCTCCTCCTATCCAGTCGCTCTTTAAGTGAAGGAGACTGTAAGAACTTTTTCCTTCCTTAGCATGCGCCTCTAGCATGTAACTGAAAGCACGTCCAGCTAGCAAGCGGAAAATCCGATATTCGAATCCCAGCAAGAGTATCGCTTAGGTTTCACGTTTTTGCTCTGGAATAAACCTAATGAACCTACGAACGAAATGTTCTTACAAGATTGTTGTACGGCTTTTATTCCAATGTGACTTAGTGCTGATAATAGCAAACGCATAAAGAAATAGTAAAATATTTATTGTTACTTCAGCTTTAAGTCAACAATTAAAGAGAATATCAAATTAAAGGTTCTCTTTTGCAGCTTTCAAGACAATAGCAGCCTATATAAACATGTCAAAATATTAAAACTTAATCAGTAATTAAAACTTAAATCACTGCTATTTTTGACGTCTTCTGTCATAGCTATAACTTCAAAATAAACTCAACAATAACTAGCGCAGAACATAATCTCAGTGCTCCAGGTGTAGGTTGTAGAACTTCTCACTCTCTCTCCCTAAGTTTATATTCATGCTTATTACCTGAAATAATTTAATTTCCTTTTCTGGCGGATTATGCGAAACAACAGAGGTGCAGGGAAGATTCAACGTAAAAAATAACGTGTTAGTTAAAATATTATCTGCAGAACAAAAGGGCTGAGGAAAAACTATTTAATCATTGCATCATAAATATAATTCTATGATCATAATAAACATTTTAATTTTCAAGTTACGAGGACTCCATCGTCATAAATTTTTGACCCAACCCAGTATATGTTGTTATTTTAACGTTCGAGAATCCCCATTCTATGATCAATTTAATCAACAAACATTATTTAAAATAAGGTTATATAAATATTCAGATACTCCAAGCATTGTAATTCAACTGGTGCAAGTGATGCTAGCGGCATTTCACGTACGATTCATGTTTTAGATTGATGGGGCTCTTTTTCTAGTTCACATTTCCTTCATTAGCTTATGTGGTTGTTTCACTGCCTGACAACGCATGTGTGAAGAGAAAACTATTTTACAGTTTTGAATTCCCTAGAAGGTCTGCAACATAGCTTTCTAATCTTGTATGGCTCGTCGCTCTCTTTTAAATGTTTCTCCTTCAACGCCTCTTATATTTGCAATAATAATATATTAGGTGTTCTCTGAATGTGTTTTGTAGACAATTGCCTAAAATACAAGCAAGTTTAGGTATTTACCGCATTAAATTATTAATTAAATCTCATCACTCAATGCTGAAACCAAGAGCCACCAGTGGCCGAGTGGTAAGTCCTCTGAACACATTTCGACTTTAGTTCAAATTTTGAAGAATTAATTTCATTGTTTTTATTTACTTTTTGGAGGGGGAGCGGCTGAGGAGCCGTTAGGAAATTCACAGATTGGGAACCGCTGATTTAGTTCATATACAATGTGCTTATAAAATAACTTTCCCTGTTTGAAATCATCTGCAGCTAAAACTAATGAAGGGAATGGAATCAGATTTCATAAAGACTGTAGAAGATATAGCGAGAGGAATTAAATAAAAAGTACCAAACATCATATATAGGAGAGATTTTGGCTCTATTCATTATAATTATTAACCGATAACATGTTAATAATTATAATGTATACTCAGGAAAGGGATTACGCAAAATTTCCTTAATGTTTCAGCAATAAAAAAGCACAAGCAGAAATAGAATGCCATACAGTATGAAATTCACAGAAAAAATATTTTATTAATTAACATTAAAATCCTCTGGACCACGTGCAAAACTTTCGACGTGCTGACCTTCCTTTTTGTTAAAGGGTTCGGTGGATGGTATTCGATGGATGCTGCTGCTGCTTGTGAATTGTCAGTTTAGATATTTGTAAAAACCCGTCTTATGCTTTCTTTCAAGGAACTAAGGTTTGTAACGCCACTACTATACACAAAGGATTCAAACTATCCCCACAGCCAAAAGTTACATTGGGTGATATCCGGGAACGAGGCCACCATTCCTTTCGAAAGTTTAAGCTGATAAATCTCTCATTATAGAAATGCTGGAGTAGAAGATTTTTACTGATCGAATAATGTGTAGCCGTACTCCGTCTTGCATAAAAGTTTGGTGCAAGTAAGAACACCTACAGGAGTATTACTCTCAAAATTGGCATGGTCATATTAAATGAAATCGGCCGTGAATCTACAATCCACGCAGAATACTAAGGAATTGCAGTTTGCAGACATTTTGCAGAATACTGAGGAAATCACAGTGTGCCGTACAGTTGTGAGTATTGAGGCTGTTGTCAGTTTCGACACTAGTGAGTATTGACTGAACCATTTAGATAAAAATTAGCTTCCTCTCCGCACAGTAATTTCACAAGGCTAATAATTGTAGATTTGCATTTAAGCAAGAAACGTTAACTCGGATATTAAGTCCTTAAATTATGTAAAACATATTGTAATAACGATTTTTCTGTCTTACGTAAAATATTAAACCGTTAATAATTAAATTAAGTTTTTGATTTCGTTCCCTTTAAATGATTAAGAAAAGTGTTCGGGTTCCCTTTTTTATGTTTTGAATGTGGTATTTTAGAATAGCACCTCTCGTTACATTTCGAACTTTGAAGTTATAACTCACAATTTAATTTTTTAATGTATTCGAAAAATTTCAAATCTAATTTTGCGCTCTCCTTCATTTGAGGCAAGTATGGCAGTTGCCTCGTCCTTGTTCCGGCTTTGACAACTACTATCGACCGTTTGAAAAATAGCAATTATGGTTGACTATTCGAAATTAACCATCCTTGTAGCATTCTAAAACTGTCATAATAGTTTTAATATTATATATTTTTGGTGTCGAAGAGTTAATTATTTTAAATAAATAGAAGTACCGTACTTGCAGGTGTAGCTCAAATATGCCGAACTGAAGTTCATTCGCTAGCAAAACTTGAAACATTTTTTTAATAAGGAATAATAATTTTAACACAGTTTCTTGATCATTTTAGCAAGTTATATTCTTAAAGATGTATGAATAGTAGCTTTAAGAACTAATTTTTGTGTTTTGAGTAGTAGTTTATGAGTACACTTATGTTGAATAGAATAACAGATTCTTTTTGAAGACATCAAATCTAGAAATAATTAATTTTTTATTTGTATGGCTTACGAGTGTGGGATACACTAAAACTCTAGTAGTACATTGGCTCTCCGCGGATGAAAAATTTGACGTTACGTAGTTTTCGTGGTTTTTCTAGTATTTCAACAAACCTGAGCCAGATTCCTGTAAAAGAACTTTTATGCAAGGACCTTAAGAAACACTCACTGGAAATCTGCGTTCGGGAAAGCATTCATACTCTTAGGCAACGAATAGTTTGGTGCTCATCTGAAAATTGCTTCATTAGTTATTTTATTAAACTGTTAAAATGGAGTAAAAATTTTAATTTTTTTTTAAACCAGAAGTATTTTATTGTAGAATGAATTAAATTTGCATAACCAGATAAATCATAGTTTCCCATCGTGACTCTTATCGTCTACCGTGGGCGCTGAGAACTAGGGAGGTGTTACTTATGTTTAGGGCAGTAAGTTGACCTTAAGATATATGTCAGCAATAAGGATATACTCGGAAAATCGCTTAAATACGTTTGAAACAAATATTCAAACATTTATTTGATTGCGCAAATAATGCAGTTAAGCATTTTTCAAGAATCATACCAAATTACCCAGTCATGTCTTCCCATAAATTAATCAGAATTGTAGTGCCTTTTTATATTCCAATGGATCGGAATTCGTGAACTATCAGTCTAATATTCCAAACATATGAGCATTACCATACTTGCCGTGATATTCTCTACATCCAAGCAGCCTTTTCGTTTGAAGTATAAAAAAGCCCGCATGCAAAGGCATAGGCTGGAATCTGCAAGGGTTGAGGGCATTATTGCAAGGGTAGAGGGTGCTTAACGAAATAAAAACTCAGAAGGGGGTAGTAAGACGGAAAAGCAGGGGAAACTGTAAGACAAATGAAAGATACAAATTATTTTAATTTCTAAAGCGAATTCAGTTATCGGAAGTATTAAAAGCTTCAGTTTTTCGAGAATGATTTCTAAGATTTACTAATATTCTCTTAGCCGTAGATTCAGAAATATTTTCCTTCTCCTTTACAGGTCTCCACATGGTTCGCCAATGCCCGCCGGAGACTCAAGAAGGAGAACAAGATGACCTGGGAGCCGAGGAATAAGGCAGAAGCGCATGACGACGAATCTCCCGCAAAGAGGGAGGACGCCATCGATAAAGAGGAGGACCCAGCGGGATTTCGCGAAGAGGGCTGCGGAGATAAAGCGGATGTCCTCCGCATACACCCCTCGGCGCTCGTCGACGCATCAGGCAGGTTCATTTGAACAATGTCTTTTCGCAAATTTATGTTTGTGCTTGCTTCTTCCACACTTAATGACATTTTTCAGAAATAATATTTATCCTGCTTTGCCAATGTTAGAAAATGTGATACGTCGTGCACAATTTTATTTGCATTACTTACGGTTAATGTTTTCACTAGAGTCTATGGTCACGCTTATATGTACAATATCGATTTTTCCATGTTTTTAAGGTTTAGGTGCAGGATAAAATAGCCACCCATAAAATAATGACGACTGAAATTAAATTACTTGGAGCTTTGGTTTAGATAGAAGTTCTTATCTTTAAGAAATTTTGAATATCGAACAATGTTTCTTCTATTTTTTCCAGTAATGCACATCAGTAAACATTTTGAAAAAGGATTAAATATGTGCTATATTAAAAAATAATTACAAATAAGCTCAAAATTCTTTTAATGTTAACAATTTATTAATACTTTATTTTTTCCCAGAATTTTTTCATTCCTGTTCTTTGTAAGGGTGATTTTAATTCATTAAGATATAAATAACTCCCTCCCGACTATTCAAGGGAGGATTAATGACTTGCACATTAAACAGACCCTGTCTAAATATAAGTTCTGTTTGTTTATTAAGGAGTGATGGAAAATTTTATTTTACAAACCATTAGCGAAAAACAAAATTATCTGCCGAAAACAGAAGGTGAGAAAATGCAAGAAATAACAGCATCTACAGTTGATATTATTGCATTTGGAGTTAAAAAGTTTGTCATTTAATTATATATATTGCGGAATATAAAATTATTATTAGATTGTTCATAGAAAGTAAATTGCTCAAGCTTAAAAAGAAATCAAGTGTAGAGACATTAATCTTCAATTTCACACTGATTTCTTACGAAGCAGCGGTCAATGTAAACTACACTGCGAAGAGATAAATAAATAAAAAACATGAACCGAAACAAGAAAAGAAAGAAAGATGCTGCACGTGATTCCTCGAAAGAGAAGGAGAGGAAGAGAACTTTGAATACTAGTTTAGTTTACGTAACGAAATGAGCTTACTCTGTAAACTAAATTGCTTGGAGATCTCGGTAAATTGTTAAAAATACTTTTTTAAAATTTTATTATGGATTATTATTTTTTACAAAATTTTTTAACTGCTTTTGAATCAATCATGAATTGGAATAAACCGCGGGTGTCGTCTCTCGTATTACCGTGGTTAAGCGGGAATTGACTGTACATTTAACTAATTGCAGTTTGCTCGTGAGGTTATAAGGTATTTCTCCCACTTCCCTAGTGTGCCTTCGTGGTGTAACAGTAGCACGCTACGCCGGTATTCTAGAGGTCCGTGGTTCGATTCCCGGCGAAGGTGGTTGCATATTTTTCATCTTTTCTGCTTGCAATTAACCTAATGACTCTACAAGTAAACTGAAAAAAGGGTTGTGGATGATGATTCTCCGCACCCAAGATTTGGCGACTAGGTTTCCTAAAACCCTAGTCGCCCTTTAAAAAAGGGGAGTATATAAGGTATTTCTCCCCCTTCCCTAACGTTCCTTCGTGGTGTAACGGTAGCACGCTAGGCCGGTATTCCAGAGGTCTGTGGTTTGATTCCCGGCGAAGGCCGTTGCATATTTTTCATTTTTTCTGCTTCCAGTTAACCTAATGACTCTGCAAGGTCACTTAACTGATTTATAATTAAACTGAGCTTCAGTTCAGTTCACTGTACTAACTGCAGTTTGCGTACATTACTTGAATACTTCTTACAACATCATAGAAACCAGATACATAAAAAATATAAATATATGAACACAGAATTTCATTTCAGTTTTATCTATAATTATATTTTTTAAATGTGGAATATTCTCCTGAAGGAAATGTTTACATACTTAGTTTAGATTCAATGTAATTCTGTAATATGTATTCGGTCACTACATTAAGAGAATGAACTCAAATAGCGTAGCAATTTGATCAACCAGAATTCCTTTAAATCTTAATACGAAACTAGAACCAAACTCGACGTAAATGCCATTAACTGAATTCCGTTTAATAATTTTAATACGCTGATTTTACTTCCTATTACCATTGTTTAGAACCAGTTATTGGATGATTACATGAGCATAATGCATTTAAATGATACCAGTTTTTAATGTAGCTAAACAGGAAATTTTAACTATACCATTATAGCACGTGTTTTAATTAATTTATCAGGCTTTAATTACTGACTCTAATTAAAATCTTTAAATAAATAAAAAGTCTAAAAGTTTTCAGATTTTATATTACGCCCAAAGGGCCGTTTTTTAACGTTTTGTATGTTGCCTTTACTTATTAAATATCATGTTCTTTGAACTTAAACCATAAAATTCAATTCGACAGCAATATCTCAAAGTAATTTTAAAATGAGCATATCTTTAAAATTTCCGATACACAGTCTCACGTGCTGGAGGTTAATTTTTTTTTTTTTTCCGTACAGTGTTGCCATTTCTGGCTTTGAAATCTTTGAGTTTCTTAATCAAAAATTCGTTAAAGTTTTACAAAATATGAAATAGATAATAAAAAAATTCCAAGTTCGGATTTCCATAAACTTCAATTCGACAGCAATATCTCAAATATTCTAGTGGAGAACAACATATTGAAAATTTGATGTCTCTATCGTTGTTTTTTAGCAACGCGAGAAACAGACATACTGTAGTGTTTATATTTATTTTAACTAACATTTATTTTAAGCTATCTTTCCTGTCAAGCCTTTACTTTCCCCTGGAATTGCCAATGCCAGAGTATGTAAATTTTAGTAGAACGCGCAAAGTATTCAAATTTTTAGCAGAAGTAATTTGAGTTAAATAGAAGGGAAACGAGTTCGTAAGTGTGCTTTCTTGATTCACGAGCGTGAAGGTTGCTAGGTAGAAATTTAAGAACCGCACGTTTCGACCTGTGTGCCTACTTCGGCAGTTAGTTGAATATTTCAACTTCTTATTCAGAAAGTTTGCTGAAATCTCAGCTGTATCTTAGAACGCGGTTAAGTTAGTCACGTTTATAGAGCCTCGTAGGTAGTGACTTGTTTTTTCATCCGGTTATTTATTTTTAGTTGTTTTCTGATTTTTATTTAACCGCCGGGTCGGCGTAGTTTGTGAGCGTCAAGTGAACGCATCTGTAACTTCTAAAGTGGAATAAAAAGGGAGTTAAACCCTTCTTAAGAGTTTGTGTAATTTCCATTTCATAGCAGTCACTACTACGGTTGCGGGCAAGTTGGGGCCACGCAACATCACAATACATTTAAGCAGATTCTTCATTATTTAATTTCTTTAAATATAATGCGAGGCTCTAATATTTGGGGGCAAAAATTTGAAAAGTGAAACCACATTTTTAGTGAAATAACGCAAAATGCTAAAACGAAATTAATATCCCTCCTAGGTTAACGCCCTTTGGGCTAATAATAAAACAAAAATCATTGGAATTAATCATTGAATAAAAGAAAAAATTGGACCTGCATATGATTGTCATTTCAGTGAAACATTGCCATCAAATCATTCAAAACAGAATTGTTACTTATTAATCACATACTTTTGACAAATTATTAATTATAATACTGTGTAGAGACATTAGGTATTTTTGGAAGTAGGTAAGATGAAAAAAGAGCAAAAGTCTTCGCCGCGAATCGAACAATGGACCTCTCGAATACCGGCCCAGCGTGCGGAACCACTACACCACGAAGGCATGCTCAAAAGGCGGGAGAAATACTTATATACTCCCCCTTTTTAAAGGGCGACTGGGGTTTTCAGGGGACCTAATCGCCAAATCCTGGGTGAGGAGAATCATCATCCAACACCCTTTTAGTTTGGGCGCCACTGCACAGACATTACGTATTTTTGGAAGCAGGTAAGATGAAAAATGAGCAAGACTTCGCCGGGAATCAAACCACGGACCTCTGGAATACCGGCGCAGCGTGCATAACCACTACACCACGAAGGCACGCTAGGAAGGTAGGAGAAATACCTTATAACTGTTTTTTTTATAGGGCAACAGTATCAAACCAAAATATCTGCAGCAGATTAAATTTATTTCCTTCTTGCTAAAATAATTCGTATGATGTGAAAAATATCCACTTTTCATTTCACTTGCATTTTAGATATGTGTTTTGAACAAAGCTCAGAAAAGAGATATGTGCCAATTCATTTAAGTATATATGTTAATATAGAGTGATCATAAAATACTTCCCTGATCAGAGGCCTATTTAGAGGCCTATCCGCTCAACGAATCGAAACAAAATTTCGGACAATGTTATTTGAAAATATGCACTCGAGGTTTTGATGATTTAAAATAATAAAGCTTCCATGATTACGGTTATAGTGAAAAATGTCGAAATTCTCGAATCGTGACACCCTCCTTTTCTGCCCAGATGTTTAGCGCATTGAAAATCCATAAATGGTATTGGAACGACTCACGTATGACAAAAATTGAAGATGTAGAACTTTTAGAAAGACGAGCATTGTAAAATATCAATGACAACACAAGAGGAAAGAGGATATACAGTGTGTTATGTCTCCTTCCAGCATGCCTTCATGTTGTAACTGTTACACACTCGGCGGGCATTCGAGAGGTTCAGTTTCGAATCTCGGCGGGGGCACTGCACATATTTCACGTCTCTTGCTTCAAAATAATCCAATGACTCTACAAGGATAATAAATTTTTATTGGAATTAGAAGTTTTCAACGTGTGCATTATTTCAAGATAGAGCCATCTCCCGCAAGTTAGCAGTTCCGTGGCCACCACTATCCCCGACCTCACTTGGATGGATTTCTGATTCTGGGCTATCTGAAATCTGAGGTTTACACATCAGATCCACGAGATTCATCAGAACTGAAAGGTGATATAAAACGAGAAGTTATAGATTCCTCCGACAGTATTATGTTCGTCATTGTTGTCAACAGTCTCACATATGGAGTTGGCGCGTACCATAATGCTCGCAAGGTTGGGAACCCTGTACTAAGAAGGTTCTCATAAGAAACTTAAACAAAAGGTTTGA